GATTTCAATAGGCAAGAATTGGAAACGTCCTAAACGTCTCATAGGGTGGACTCGTCAGGATTTCTGTCTTGTTGACTTGGTCACAAGGGTTCATTGGCTCTTGTCCCTGGGAGTTGTTGAAACCAGCTTTAGGTTGAGCTGGATTCGGGCTTGCAGGATATCTTTATTTTCTCCCTGTCTTGGCTTTGCATTTCTCTGCACGGCATCCTTCTCCCATGGACACACAGATGACATCCGCAGCCCTCGACTTCCACCCTGCCAGCTTGGGGACTGTAGCAGAGACACCGTGACCTCAAAAGTAGCTCTGACTAGTCTTAGAGCAGCTGTGATTGGCGGGACTTGGATCATACCCCCATCTTTCAAATGAGCCATGGTCAGGAAGAGTCCTCTGTATCATATGCCCATCCATGGAAGAGGATAGAGAGGGGGGCAGCCAAGGGGTCAGGACTGGCACCAATCCAACCACCTGAACGAGACAGGATCGTGTGGCCTGGGAGAAGTGTGGTTCCATAAAGCAGTGCTGGCAGACCCAGAACCATGGGGCATCCCAGCTGATGGAAAGAGTTCATGCACTGAAATACTATACTAATTTAACAAGCAGTGATGAACTGTGCGTATTAACCCACAGCGATGCCTATGGCACATTTGTAAGTGAAAAAAGTTTACAAGAGAGTAGGTATAGTGGGATCCAGTATTGATTTGAGTATTAAAAAAGTCCATGGGTTGCCTGGGTGGCTCAGTCAGTCAAGTATCTGACTCTTGATTTAGGCTCAGGTCATGATCTTGGGGTCCTGGGATCGAGCCCCATGGTGGGGGGGGGGGCTTGGTCCGTGCTCAGCAGGGAGTGTGCTTGAGGATTTTCTCTCTCCTTCTGTCCCTCTGCCCCTATCCACTCTCACACGTGCTGCCCCCCCAAATAAATGAATAAATCTTTTTTAAAAATCCAGTAATAGTGGTTATTTCTAGGTGATAGATCTCTTATTTTTCTTACATCTTTTTCTGTTGTCTGATAAAATTTTACACAAAGGATATATTTCTGTTATTATCAAGAAAACCTAAATAAGTAATCATTTGAATAGGGCAAAAGAAAACCGATCTATTGCAGAAGTCTCGACAAGAATTGATGAGGCCAGAACTAGGAAGGGTGTAGAGGAGGGAGAGGGGAGAGATTTGGGGAAGCTGACATCCTCAGGGCTGGGTGAGGGCTGAGGGAGGAGCCCAGGCTGGTTTTAGGGTTTCTGCCCTTGGTGGTCTGCTGGCGTGGGGATGCCCACCACGGTAGGGCCAGCTGTCGTTAAGGCCAGCAAACCACCTATTAAAATGAATATTTGCACTTTTGGGTGCAAGTGCTTGGGACTTAGTGGTGGAAAGGCAGACCTCAGAGACTCAGGTGCTGAGAAAAGGATCGATTTGACTGAATAAAATTTTTTAATTACATTTGAAATGAAGACGCTATTACTGCTTGGTAGAAATTGCATACACCTCATTTATTAAGTATTTGGTAAGCTCTGTGAGGGCAGAAACTCATCTTGATGTTGTAATCTCTCAGTACCTAGCATTTAACCTGGTTTTTTAGAAGGAGTGCTCTAAAATGGTTGTGGTTGAATGAATTATTCAAGCCAAACTCCCAGTAGTTCTTAAAAGAAGTTATCGTTGTAATCTGCTCAGGAAGCTTATCAAGCTGATTTGTAATCATTTGTAAATAGGGGCTTCCAAAGTGCTTAAAATAATGCTTTTCTTAAAAAAAAAAAAAAAAAAGTCCTAAATTATTTTAAAACCGCTGTCAATGTTTAGCAAATCCCCTTCTGCTTGTCACATGTAAAATGAATCAGCTTGGCTCTCCATATGTGTAGCATAAGTCACTCACGAAAGTGAGGTGATCTTACTACATTTTTCCCCCCGGGTCTTTCATGTGTATTTTGGTCTACCTTATAATGTTATTTTCCTCTGAAGCATGTTTACCACTATAGTTCATGGAGCCCAGAAGATAAACTATTTGGACTACGAAGTTATATGTGAGGATGCTTTAAGGAACTTGGGCTCTGGGACCAGCCGGTCTGGCTCCGAATCCCAGCGTTGCCATTTCCTAGCATGTAGACGAGGGTAGTTGAAGTGTCTCCCCTGCCCCAACCCTGTCCCGAACTTTCCCATCCCTACAAACATGTTGGTGAAAGGTTGTCATGACAATAAAATCAAATAGTCACTATAAAGCACTTAGCACAGAACTCTTAGCATAGAACTCGAATATTAACCATTTTAAAACAATCATATTTGTTGATCTCCTAGGTTGGAGTGATTTCCAAATGTGCAGCATTTCCTGTGTCCCATTTATGATGAAATTTCTAAAGTTCACCTTGACATGTGAATACCTTCTCTTTGACAACCTCCCAACACAAATAAACTCTCTGTTCCTGTCCTCAGACAGAAAAAGACAGCTTGGGCTGGAGTTCGATCTCCACAGAAAGGTCCTTTTGGATAGCATCAGCCTCTCTTTGTGACTTTTGACTTACTATAAGTGATTTTAGGAGCGCGTGTGTTGAGTCCAGGGCCCTCGGGGACGATGTCACCAGGCAGGTACCCAGCTGCTGGCCAGCTCCTCGGAAGGAAGCTACCCCAGGGCCTGTGGCCACTTCCAAATCACCTGTGGGGCAGCTTGCAGCTGAGTGACCCCTCCTGGCACCCCTGCCAGCGTCCTGTGACAGGTTCAGCGTCCCCTAGGAAGACACACGGAGGGTGTGACTGGTGCTGGTGAAGAGTGGCAGTGGGGGATTTCTCCTCCAGTCATCCACGGTCCTTACCGGCGCTCGCAGGTTGCCCATCCCCCACCTAACACCTCCAGACCGGAGAGAGGAGTGGAAATAAAGGGTTTTCGTGAAAACCCAGGAGAAGAGCAGGTGTTTGTGATTGTTCGTACGGTGTCAAAATTGATTTAGTGCCAAATTACGGTCCTAAAGCAGTGAAGGCCCACCACTTCTCACAAGGTGTTTGACTAGATCATGTTCTCCCTCTCCCTCTTCACTGTCCAAGCTCGGAGCTACGGAAATCTTTGACACAAAAATCCATGCGTATAGGAGTTCTTTTTTTGGGGGGCTTTGGTGATTTTACTTTTGACTCTACCATAGTATATTGGCATTTTTCCTACCTGTGACGTTGTTTTAGGTGGTCGAGTCAAATTTCACCTTTCTAGAGAAGTGCTCGTCTAGGGACTAGATAACTGAATTTCAGAAACCCATATCTAAAGCATGGAGATTTAGTCACCACATAACATTTTCCGAAGATAAAAACAAAACAAAACAAAAAAAAACTGCAGTCTCAAAGTTTAAAGTGTCAGGTTCTATTTCAGAATTTTCGCAGTTAACCCAGAGTTTTGCAAAGAGCTATTCTAAGCTGCCTCATTGACGTTGCAGATGCAGAGGGGCTCTCTTCCCCTCCCTCGTCCTCTTTCAAAGCCCCTCACCACCAGCTTCTCCAAAAGAAAGGAAAAGCAACCACTGCCCCTTGTTGGCAGTAGAATTTATTCACCGATTTCCTTTCAGCCAACTGTGGCCATTGCCTCTGGGCACTTGTTCAAAAACGCAGAAATGAAATAACAGATTGGCCAGGCCGAACACAACTCCCCAGTCACAACCCTATTATCTCCTCATTCTGTCACCCCCATTAGGCAGAAGCCTGGGAGACTGGATGATGATAACACAGTGTTTATGTGACTCGTTCATGTCCCCAGTTCGCGGCTTTCCGCTGGTGGTGTTCCCTCATTCGTCTGTGAGTGGGGCAGAGGAGAGTGAGGCCCGGGGCTTCAGGCTCCTAGGCCTTTCCACAGGCCTACCCCTGCCCATCTTTCCCTGCCTCCTGCCCAGGAAAGAGCTCCTGTGTCCTGAGAAAGCCAGAGCAAGACAAAGGAACCACCTTGCTCCGCGTGCTTACCACCTACCTGTGAAGGAGTACGGTTGAAGCCGCATGTGTGGATTTTTCTGAATATTAAGTATCTCTCCATTTAGGTATTTATAGCTGTTCTATTCAGGGCAGAGTCAAGCAGCGCGGTCGCTTTATTTAATATTGTAGGGCCTCTTCAGGGTCATCTGAGAAACACATTTCTCCGGACAGAATGAATGTGTAGCAGAGGGCGGTCTCTGTTTCAACTACAGAGGATTGTTTCCTGATTATTGCCTTCTTTGTGAAATTCCTCTTAAAATTATAGGCACAAGAGAGAAATGTTTGAGGGGGGGTGTGGGGTTGCTTCCCCCCACCCCTTGACCAACTATTTAAAATAGAGAAGTTTTAGAACTCACATGATGAGCGATCCAGAGGAAAATGCCTCTCTTGTCTCGAATAGTCTTTTTTATAGACTAGACACTGCTCCTTGGGGTGGGTGGCTTCTTGGGATGGCTCACATCCCAGTGAGTTTCACCTTTCGTTCTGTCTTCATTCCCTCCATCTGTTCAGTGTAGCTCCATAATTATCTCTCTCATTAGTGAGTAATTCTTAGGGGAGGTGCGGCGTCGGGGTGATGCTGACTCGTTTTGCCCCCAAATCCCCCTTTGCCCGGCTGGCATCGGGTTGGATGGTGTGAGCTGCCAACAGCGGCCTCACCCCCATGAGAACCCTTGACTCAGCCCTGCTCTGGCCATTTATTGGTCACACCTGGAAGGCAGCATGGCTGTCAGGAGACAGTGGCCTTGTGCTGAGCAAACAGGAGGGCGGAGAAGACACAGCAGAATGCTTTTTGGACAGATGCATTTTACTGGGTGGGGGGCAGGGGAAGGTCAGGCTGTCCTTCGGCATTTGGTTCAGGTTAATCCATCCTGGAGACAATTCTCATGTGAAGGTTCTGCTGGGAGTATGTGGGAGTAGGCAGTCCCCTGCCTCCCACTCCCCAGGTAAGAAAGAACAGGGTAAAATGAAAACATTTAATTATGTGCATGATGGCTTATATCAAACTCGTAATCATTTCTTCTTGCCAGTGAAATCCTAACTCCCCTGTCCTTTCTTTTCCACATCAGCTCATACCCCGGACAACAGCTTTCTGGGATTTGTGGTCGAGCAGCACCTCAACTCCAGCGACATCCACCACATTAACGAAATCAAAAGGCAGAACCAGTCTCTTGTGTATGGCAAAGTGGATAGCTTCTGGAAGGTGAGTCAGTCTGTGTGCGCGTCGCTCTCTCGGAAATGAAGCTTGTTGGGTAATTTAATTTAACTTTGATCCAGGGAGTAATCAAGCCAAGTGCCCAGGGCTTAATGGGATCTGCTTAGAAGTAAACAAGACTGTGCTGGGATTCGGTTGTTCAGCATTTGAGTATCTAATAAAGGCTGTCCCTGCTCGTTCGCACAATGGCTACCTAGCAAAGCCCTCCGCTCTTTGCTGGGAGTGGCACGTTATAGCTTTTTTCACGTCCTATACTTGCTTCTGAAAGCTAGGACCCCACAGGGGTCAATATCTTTCTGGAGCAGGCATTGCACAGAGAGCCCTTTACAGCGTAAGGGTAGGGCAGCGCTCTCTAGATGCGTTCCTGGGGGGCCTTTAGCTGCGGTCAGCAGCCCCCTACTGGTCAGGGCTGAACTACCCGTGAAATGAAAACACCCACCAGGGCTGACTCCAGGCACTTTGTTCTGGGAGATCTGGGACTACACAACATTCTTGGCCACAGCCTGAGACAGGTTTCCCAAAAGCGTTGGACCTTGGGGCCTCTCGGATTATTTCCAGAGTCCATCTGGGGGAGGTACAGTGGGAGAGGAGCTGGATTGGAGTGTGACCTGTTGCCCTGACCTCCAAACCTTTTTATATGGGAAGTCCGCCTTTGTGTGCCGGTGCCATCATTTTGATTGAGGCCGTGTTTACACAGGCCACAATAGTCTCCAGGACTTCAAAACATGCCTCTTCCGAAATATAAACGTTAACACTTTGCAGAATGATCAGGTACTGGGGGTCTCATGTTGTTACGTGTCCTTTATTAAGGAAGTTAGAAATCCAAGCACTGAGTGAGCGCAAGTGATGTACAGGGTACAGAATCCCTGCTGTTGGTTTTCTGACCCCACGTTCAGAAAAAGAAAAGCCATGCTGCCCTCTCTTTACTTTGGCAGTGCAAAGGATGCCGGAGGGACAGTTAAATCGGCCTATTTCCAGGGAAGCTGATTTAATTCCAGATAGCTGTCTTTGCTATAAACAGCTAGGATTCTCTCTTAGTTTAGTACAGTGATTCTCATTGGAGGACAGTTTCACCCCCAGGGGGTACTCGGCAATGTCTGGAGACAATTTGGGTTTTGCCACAACAGAGGGAGTTGCCTTCGGCTTCTGGTGGGTAGAGGTCAGGGATGCTGTGTGACAGGACAACCCCACAACAGAGGATTACCTGGCACAAGATATGAGCAGTGCCGAGGTTGAGAGACCTCGGCTGGTAAATAAGATTGATTCCTACGTGTATTATTGCGCATTTTCTTCTCCTGAGGGAAATAAAATCAGTCAAGACTCTAGGTGGTTATTTAACATGTTCCCATAAATTGACACACCTTAGCTTCCTTTGCATCAAAACCTGCTGTGTGTTAACAGAGCATTTTTCAGCTGACTTTCAGCCACACAGGCTCAAAAGGACGCGTTGGGTGTTCTCGTTCTCAGTTGTGAAGTAAATGAATCACCGCACTGGTTTTAGGAAGACATGGGCTCTTTAAAAAAAAAGCCTCACTCCTGTGTCTCCTCCACACCTGCTCAAAGAAAATAGTTTGCATGTCTATGTGGACTTGACCTTGCAATTATATCACTTCTGTTTTGGAACCGAGTGCAGCTTCCTTTTAGGTGCCTCTGGCAGTTTTTCAGTTTCCCTAGAAAAACAAAATAATAAATTGGTTCTGAAACCTTCTTGGTCACCCCCCCTTTTTTTTTTGGATAAAGTAATACCACCACTAAAAGAATGATTTTCTTGATGCCAGTCAGAATCCCAGAAGAGTTAGTTGTGCTGGCCCAGGTGATTTATGGCATGACTTGAAGTCCCTCTGAAACTCCACAGATGACCCACCCTTCCAATCACTGTGCATCATCCAGGTATTAAAAAAGTCTGAGTGGCAGTGTGTCCACGTTAGTCTTTTTTCCGAATACCCCAAATCTAGAGTGTTCAGTTTTCTGTATCATCATTGCTCAGTATTCTTTGATGAGAAAGGCCCCCAAAAGTGCCAAATTCTGTGAAGTTTTTACACAGGTTCGGGACATGTCAAACTTCTCAACATGATACAGGGTGTGAGATTTGTCACTTGTTACAAAGCCTCTCCGTGCCCACAGTGCCCAGTGACCGTGCACAGAAGGCAGGTGCAGGAAGGGTGATGCCCCTGCACCACGTCCCCAGAGTAGCACTCATCACCAACGTAAGCCAGCGGGAAGTTGTATATATTGTTTTTCCTATCCCTTGCCCCATTGTCTCCCCACCCCATCTCCCGTGCCTCTGACCTCTTTGGGAAGGGGGGTGACACCGTCCAACCCCGGGGGGTTGAGGAATTTAGTGGGGGCGTGTGGGCAGGCGCAGGATTGTTGCTGACCGTCTGTGCAGCTCCACCTTCTCCCTCAGATTCCAGAACTCACTGAAACCCTGGAGATACTTGCTGTGCTCCCAGTCCTATCCCGTGTCCTCCCCTCTTCTGAGGGAGTCCCCCCAGCCGCTGGGGCACTTGAGTGGGAGGTACCACCACATGCCCCCTGCACCCTTGGCTGATTGGTTCGGAGGGCTGTCCTCCGACCCAGGGCAGCCCAGCTCATTGGTGGTTGGCAGCCATGACTGTGGCTCAGAAAGCCGCACGGGATCCATGAGGTTCTTCGCTTGGCACTGGAAACCAGAGGGACAGCGAGCCGTGGGGATGGAAATCAAAAGGACGCATCCAGAGTTGTGATGAAGCCAAGGCAGAAGCTTCCCAGGAGTGCCGGGATAAGGAAGTAGGACAAATTTGGAAAGGGAGAGGCTGCTGCTGAGACGATGAGGGAGCAGAACTGCAGGGAGGAGAGGTGGGATGCTCTGCAGGAGCCAGGTGGGAAGGACAGACGGAAGCAGCCCATGCGGGGCGCCTGGGTGGCTCAGTCCATTGAGTGTCTGCCTTCGGCGCAGGTCATGATCCCGGGGTCCTGGGATGGAGCCCCGCATCGGGCTCCCCGCTCCGCGGGGGGGCCTGCTTCTCCCTCTCCTCCCCACTCGCTCTTGATCTCTGTTGCTATCTCTGTCTCTGTCTCTCAGATAAATAAATAAAAAATCTTAGAAAAAAAAAAGCAACCCATGCAATGTGGAGAGAAGGAGAAAGTAGGGCCCAGAGTTCTGCAAAGCTTTCTTTTTTGTAGATCATACATCCTCTTGTCACACTCTCTTCACTTGCAGTATCCTGAGTGGTTGCTGTTCCTCGTGGTCCTGTCAAGGATATATGTCTTCCCTACATTGCAGATGCCTGTCAGGAAACATGATCTGCTAAAAGTAGAGGCTAAGAAGGAATGGGCTATGTCTTCAGCTCCCCTTAGTTCTGCTCCCATTTCATGGCAGAGGTACCCTGTGGTCTTGTCCTGCTGTTTTGGTATGCAGTAGAGATGTGGGAGAGGACCTTGCTGCCAGAATCCCAAAGGCACCAACTTAGGAAGCATCACTGTCCGAGACCCTTACATGAGACTGCTTACAGCCTAATCCCAAATACAGAGGTCTGTGTTAGCCCAGGAACCTGTGGCTCTGGGTTCTGGATATCTGCCTCTGGGGCAGTCTGATCATTGCATCCACTAACACATGCCTACAAGAAAAGTCTATCTAGTGTGGCTGAATTGAAAACCCCTCCACATCCTATTAAAATAAAAAATTAGTCGATTTTGTAAAAATAAGGCATTTAAAAAATTGTGGAAATTAAAAGTAGTTGAAGTGTGGCTTACCTGTATTATTTATTTTCATATTTCTTTAAAAACTGTATCCAGAGCATAAGTGAATCTTGTATGGATGATGCAGGGTCTGCCTTTTACATATTTGCGATCCTGCTGTGAAGTCCTCATTACTTACGATGCGTGATTGCTGTGAAAGTACATGTCTTGAAGGTCTTGCTTTGAGCACCTCTGGGGCATAAGCATAGCCTCTGAATGACGCTCTGGGGTTCAGACCTACGGCTGCCAGTTCACCAGCGTGTGAGGTACTTAACTGCTTTGAGCCTCAGGCTCCTGGCCTGTGAAATGGGAGCAGTGACAGCAACCATAAGGGCAGGGCTTCTCAGACTTACTATTACACGTGAATCGCCCATCATGTTGTGAAAATGCTGATTCTGATGCGGACCTTCTGGACTGGGGCGGAGACCCTGCATTTCGCACAGGCACCCGGGGGGTGCCGATGTGCTTTTGACGAAAGTGCGCCGCAGGTAGCGTGGCCTTGGTGGGTTTGGGATGGCGCGAGGAGCTTGGCACTGATTCCCTGGCCAACCAGTGAATGCATCATTCCTTATTCCCCTTTACTTTTGCTTTCCTGCTATGCTTGTCAGGCTGCCAGCTATCATGTTTTCACTGCTGTTGGGCCTGATTCTAGTGACCCCCCCGCCCCGCCCAGTCTCACTTCCCACTAAGCCCATTTGCGGCCCTTGCTGTTCCAGTCTCTGTGCCTAGCTGCTAAGAATGGGGTAAACCTGTGGTAAGCGGTGGACTCTGGGAGCTGACAGGTGTGGTCTCTTCCTGGTCACCTGCTGTCCTGTTTCGTACCGTCCATGCCCGCTGGGCAGTACGACAGAGTGGCCAAGGACACACACTCGAGCCAGATGGCCCGGTTCAAGTCCTGCCTCTGCCGTCAGCTTCCTGAGCACCAGCAAGTTCTCTTGGCCTCTTTTTTCATGAGGATGATGATTGGGTTTCTCTAGTAATTAAGTGAGTTAATACATGCAAGGTCTTGGAGGGCCTGGCACACAGTATGTCTAAAGAAAGTGTGCAATTACGAATATCATTACTAGGGCCAGATAGACACAGGGGATTGATGGGAGTGTAAAATAGGGGATAGAGCTGTGAGGAATGGGCAAATAGAAGCCTGCCCAAAGATACTCAGATTCCAGTTTTTGAACTGTGTTAGTGGTGGGCAAACTCTGGCACTCTAGCCAAATCTGGCTCGCCCTGTGTTTCTGTAAATGAAGTTCTGTCAGAGCACCTGTAAGCTG